AGGGAGCTGCTGGAGTTCGCGGCCCGGGCAGCCCAGAGGAGCAGCGCGGTGCTTAGAGCTGCTTAGGGGTGTTGTTGGGAGTTGAGCAGCCAGTGTTGTGCAGTGTAGATTTGGGAGGTTTATTTAATGATCCAGCGAGGTGTTGTGAAGCCAAGGCCTCATCTCTTCCCTTCTGGAACGTGGGGTTTGCTGACTCTCAACAGCGCTCTGAGTTCAGGCCGGTGCCGCCCTCACAGGTTTTCTTGTGGCAGCTGCAGTTGAAAAACCTTCAGAGGTTATTTGGTTTGTCAGAGTTTGGCAAAAAAACCCCCAAGTTTCCTGCTCTATATTATTATAGCAAGGTGGCTGTGAATAGCAACACACCAGCCATTTGTATGTTTCAAATCAATAGCTTGTTGAGAGCCAACACTTGGGTAAGTCAACAGTCCCTTCTTGATTAAAGGAGTAAAGAGAGAAAACGTGGCAGCCTTATCACTTCATGTTGTACAGTGCAGCTTTTGGGTCAAGTGTACAAGGATGAAGAATATTTGTGATTCCTCATTGACCTGTTTTAGCATTAAGGTAATGTCAGCATCTAGTTCATGGTAAGTCAGAAGAGAAGAAATGAGGGAGGAGGAGGCAGGAGAGAGGACCAGTGGAAGACTCAGGTAAGACCACGATTTTGCCAGGCAGCAGCTGATGCCAGACACCCATAGCTGGTTTTAACAGATCAAGGAAGAGGCACAGCCAGTGCTGGGCATTTAAAATTTTATTTGCCTCTAATTTATTCTCATAAAACCACTCTAGTCTATTCGGTTTTAGTGTTCAGACAGTACAGACTTCTGATATTATCAAGAGTGAAATTAGAGAAGCGTTACAAACCAATCTACTTTAGCATGTAACCAAGCACAGGTGGAGCTAAAACCGCCCACACTTGTAAAGACTAATCGGCCTGCTTTCTTAGGCTTTGTAGTTAAAATTCAAGACTCAGTAAATGGTTATATTCACCAACCCATATAAATAAAATCTAACATGGTAAAATGGAAACGGCTGAATGTGCAAGAGTCAAAGTAAAAATATGTAGTAGGTATTTTGCTAATTAGAGCAATCACCAGTTAACTGCATCTATGTTGTAACTGTCTCGTGTAGGTGCAAGTTTTCCTCTTCATTTCCAGTTAAAGTTCATCGCTTTCATACAGTCCAGACTGCTCAGCCAAACGCTGAAACTCTCCTTCTGGTGAGAAAGCTTGTTTCACATCCAGTCCTCTTCCATTAAGTGCCAAATACTTGCTAAAAGTTGGTCGAACCCGCAGCTGCTTTGGGGCTGGAACTGGCTTGTTTGCATGTGCTGGAAGAGAGGAAAAAAAACCAACCTCTTTCAGTATCTTACCAGGCTGTGGGAAGAACCTGTGATAGAGCCACCCAGTTGCCTTTTATCAGCAACACAAACCAACAACACCTCAGGAAGAATTTAATAATAGACAAATCCTTATCTCAGACACCAGAGATTTATATTCACCCTCCTTCTTGGGATCAATAAAATGTTAGTCTTAAAACAGCAAGGACAGCAGATCCAGACAATGTGCAAAACAGTGTAGTGTCCTGATGCTAAACAAGAGAGTTTTTCCTGGGATAGTTCGGTATCTTCAGAAAGAAATCCTCCCAGTCTGAGCATCATTAAGTTCATCTTGAGGGTTTGTTCTGAGTACAAGTGCCAGTGGCAGTTCCAGGTGAGGTGGTGGCACTGGGATCTGGTACTTACTTGCAACCTCCAGCCTGGCGTGGCAGGTGGCCACACCTGCTCCATTGACAGCAGACACAGTGTACCAGCCAGCATCTTTCTTGCTTGCATTATGAATCAGGAGGCAAATCCTTCCAGTGTTGTCATGTAACAAGCTGAAAAATGAAGGTGTTGATGTGTTAAGTGTTTGGAGGGGGAGGGAGGGAAGGTGTTGAAACAAGTGTCAGGTTAAGTGCTGAGGAGCTGAGAAAGCCCTAGAACAATTCTTGTAGAGCACTGCAAACTATTTAGATGTAAACACTGCATTTGTGTTAGAAGCCACCAGTAATTCACATTATTATGTCATTCAGGTGGCATCAAGGCCCTTCTGTAGCCCCACAGCCTCACAGCTTGATGCATAAGTTGCATGTTTCAGCCCTAAAGCTGTGCTTCTCCATGGGCCTTGGCACTGCTCCCAGAATTCAGGTCATGGAGTTTTTCTTTTTGTGGCCTCAAGGCAAGACTCTGAGTATCATGCCTGTCCACTATGTGTCATAAACAAGGGTGAGATCCAGCTTTCCAGTCGATTCAAATGGGACCTAACAAATACTGGTTACAGTTTTGTAACATACCAATGGCCAACTCGTGATTAGGATACCTTATTCGGTCTGTATTATATTGTACCATTTCGTTGTTTCTTTTCCAGTAAATCCGGGGTGTTGGGATAGCAGAGATCTGGCATTCCAGTCTAGCTGTATCTCCTTCAAAAACCTTTTTGCTTTGTGGCTTGAAGATGAAAGTTGGAGGCGTGTGATGCTCTTTTGCTAAATTCAAGAGGAAAGATAAGGAGGCATTAATGTCAGTATTGAATGCTGATAATCAGGCTTGTTTTCTAAGACTTCAGAATGCTAAATTCCAGAGGGCACCTGGTCCTTACTGCAACTCCTTAACCTATGAGCAAACCCCGTGAACATAAGGGTGTAGTGGACACAATCCACTATAGGAGGAGAGCCAATCAACATATATTATCAATTATTGGTGATTAATAACTTGCAAATTCTGGACATCCCACTATACCTAAATATTGCACTAAAAATGCTTTGAAGAAATATGGCATCCGAGATACATGTATTGGGGAAGCCCTATCCCTGGAAGTGTTCAAAGCCAGCTTGGAGGGGCTCTTAGAAACCTGGTCTAGTGGGAGATGTCCCTGCCCGTGCAGGGGGGTTGGAACTAGACAAGCTTTAGCGTCGCTTCCGATTCAAACTGTTCTGTGATTAAAGTAATCTTGGGAAAGATAAGGTGTTTGTACTAGTCTGAATATCTGGAGATCTGCCTCTGCGTCTCAGTTATGTCCCGAACACACAGAGGAAGGCATTAGATAAATCAGATTTTCCAGGTGTGACCAGGTGATTATCAGTGTTCTCAGACTTACCAATTACTTCCACTTTTACTGCAAAAGATGATTCTCCTGCCCGGTTGACAGCCACACATTCATACGTGCCTGCATCAGATGCCTTGACTGCTTCAAAAATAAATGAGTGGAACCCCTTTTCTGACACTATCATTTTATGGAACTGATCTTGATGGACCATCCTTCCATTCTGATACCACATCACATCTGGAGTCGGTAGCCCACTAACCTGTGAAGGAGAGGAAAAAGGTCACGCCAAAGTCTGGCAAGAGTTTACTTTTAAAAGTGGATTGGAAGAGATGAGAAAAAACCAAGCTCAGCCACAATCAGCAAACGGCCTTTGCAGTGAAGCTGCATGTGTGGAAGACCTAGGTTGTTCTTTATGCCAGTATGGTACAATTGCCATGCTGTTCCAGGATATTCTGGTGTTTCCTTTGTGATTATGGCATTTTCTTGCCAGACCGTCTGCTCCAGCAAGGGCACAGTTACCTCAGAGAAGACCCATTAAAGGCAGGCTAGTCCTAAACAGGCCTTGCTGAACACGTGTTTAGCAGGTGTCCACTGAAGTCAGCAGAGTCTCAGTGCAAAGCACAAGGTCCCCTCCCAAAATACTTTATTTCAGCAGAACCTTAGTGTTCATTCTTCCCAATGAGGTCTAGAAGGTGTTTTGTGGTGGTCCATATTTACTATTTAGCTTTAACCATATTTTTATGCAGCTAATTCCACTTAAATTTTCCAAGGGAAAATGCTGACACATTTGGCCATCTCCTATGTCTTGCTTTACATGGCCTGGAGAGACCCTGCACCATCTGCCATTAGTTGTGTGCAAGTGCACAGACACTGCAGCTCATAGAGCAGACTTCATGCCCTACACCCTGCAGAGCTGATGGGACTGGGAGGGAAGGGCTGGCCTTACTTTGAAGTCCAGCCTGCAGAATCGTCCCTCCTCGATAATGACATCTTCAGGCACTTGTGTAAAACGGGGCTGGAAAAACTTCTCCTGGATTGAGTCATGTCCACGTTCATCTGCTCTTGAGGATGGTCTGCTCCTAAAAGAGGGGACAGACAGGGTTAATTATGTAAAAGTTACCACAGCACAAATGGCATGGAAGCACTGAGTGCAGCTAGAGTCCCTCAACATGTTTAGGACTCCAGCTCTACGGTTCTGTTTTGTCTTTCACCTGTAAGGTGTGGGTTTTGATCAGCCACTTGTCTTGCTCAAGCTGCTCAACACAGAAGCATAACATCTGAAACCTTCACCTCCAGCCCAATAGCCAAAATATTTTGGAAGAGCAATGCAGGCTGTGTTTCATCATGCTATGTTTAATAATTTCCACTGTCAGACCTTGCTTTAACTAGGGAGATACCTTCTAGAATACAAAGCACACTTGCCCTTGGTACATGGAGTCTTTAAACCTTCAGTGCTATGCTTAGAGTTAATTGGGTTAAGATCATAGGCATCATCAACTATCCACAATGAATTTAGTAATTACTACTTTAGAAAAAGTGATAAGTAGTGAAGTAAAGCTGACACTGGCTAGAAGAAATTGAAATAAGGTCTTGAAGAACAGCACGGCACAAGCTTATGCGTTACCTTACGTGTGTTGTAGGAACCTGCAGCCTGATGTTTTCTGTGTTCTGGTGCTTGGAAAGAAGAAGAGGAGAGGTGAGTTTATCTATAAATTGTATGAGAAGCCATTTTAAGTTAGTATACTGACTGCTGCTTAAAAGCAAGCTGAATACTTGGGAAGTCACTGGGAAAAAAATTAAGGAATCTTGCGTGGGAGCTAATGCACTCTGCCTTCACCCTGGGCTTTGCCAAGCAGTACCAAGTACTGTGAATGGAATGGGACAACTTCTCATCTCTCTGCACAGGTGATAGGTGCAGCAGTTCTGTTTGGCACACGAGCCTTTTGGCCAGCCAATAACCTTTGTTAGAGGGAGGCAGTACTACTGGCAGTATCTAAAATGAGAGCTGAGTACGGAGTGTCCTTCACCATAGCAGGAATAGAAGTGGAATTGCTGGCAAGAACGCTGTATTGTGCCCACTTAAATATGGTACCAATAGCAATGGACACATGCTGAGCTGGAAAATATTTTTCTTTTTAGATCACAGTACCAACTAAGCTTGCTGATAACTCCACAATCACATGAGAAAAGCTGATAAAGTACCCAGGACTGATTCCTGCTGGGCACTTGGATGTTTGGAAAAGGCAAGCAGAGTTTATTACCGGTGACTCATTTTAGCAGTCAGAGTCAGATTGAGGAAACACTGCATGGAAATTTCTCAGGTGTTTGCACTAGCTGGTTTTGTAGCCAGATGCTTGGTTCTGTAGCCCAGTCCTGTGGAACATTTAAGCTTGGGTTTAAACTTCCAGCACAGAAGCAGTCTTCAGTTTAGGGGAAGCATTATATGAATGAGGGTTTGTTGGAGTGAGCTCAATGCTGACTCCGAAGGTAATTGCTTGTATCTGCTCATTTACATGATTCTGAACAATTATTAGTTGTCTTGTGAAATTATGCTGTACTGATTGAATTGCTCATAATTTCAATGCTCTGTTACGTGGACTGACTGTGTAG